CTTTACTTTACATTTTCATTAACTTACATAATATACAATGATTATGTCAATTCAATGATTCATATACAAATTTTTATTAAACAATCTCTTTCTTTTACATATAATATTGTATCAATAATTTGCTATAAATGTTTAGTTTTCGAACATAGATAATTATTTAGTATAAAAATCAAAGTTTYTAATATTAAATTAATAAATAATCAATAAGTTAAAATATTATTGCATATTTTATAATTTTAATTTTTAAACTCACGCATCGCGCAGGCAATCTCTAGTATATATATAGATTTAAGAATACACTTGTTAGTGGTTGATTTTCTATTTCATTAATTGCTAGCAACCTTTGTAAAAAAATAGAGGACAATTACAAAAATATCATTTTTTGTGTGCACATTTGCAAGAATACTATTTAGAGATATCTATTTACAAAAATACCACTAATAATATATTTATAAAGCCTATATCGTAAAATTATAAACCCTAAAAAATATTTTGACATCTAAAATCCCCTAAACACTCAAAACTAAACCCTAATAGAATATAATTAACCCAAACATAAATAATATAAAGAAAACATAATTTTGAAAAAGTGGCATTTTTGTAAAAATTTCAAAAATGTGGCATTTTTGTAAAGTGGCAATTGAAAAGTGGCATTTTTTGAAATTTCTAAAAAATTAGAGGAAATAGTGTAACAAAAATGAAAATAATAAGTAGTTTTTTCCTACATCATATATATATTTCTGAGAATAGTATGATTTGAGGGTAAAAAACTAATAGCAAGTCTACGTTCATGTAATATATGTTAGTCTTGTATGAATTAAATTGCATTTTACCATTAAACTCTAAAAAAAAATACATACAGTACGTTAACTCTCAAAGAGTCAAATCTAATCTATTGGCCAGCACCCTCCAGAGGAAGACACGTGGCTAGCCTCTCTATTCGACATCTGTCTTTTTTATTATTTTTTTTTAAGCGCAGCGTTTAACAAAAAATTTGTTCGCGAGACTCTCCAGAATCCCTTATGCGATTATGCCGAAACCTTCAACGATCTTTCTTCTCTCCTCTCCTCAAGAAGTAATTAGACTATCCTCAAGATTGCTTCAATCCTCCACACATGCAAATCGGGTAA